CTTTGTCAATATATCATCCAGGACTTGAGTTCCAATTTCAACAAATTTTATTAATGGTGCATCTTTGCCAATATTTAACATTCAACTGTACTGATTTGTCACCCATAATATCTTTCTCCAGAAAGAAATGACCATATTGTTAAGAGGTATGTGTGTGTGTGTGTGTGTGTGTGTGAGAGAGAGAGAGAGAGAGAGAGAGAGAGAGAGAGAGAGAGAGAGAGAGAGCGCGCGCTAGAGAGAGATTGAGATTGCAGGCTGGGGGTGCTGAAAAGTAATTTTCTTCTTTTTTTGTGTGTGTATGTTAGGGAAGGGTCTGCAGGGTCTTCAGGGTCTCACTACTAGATCAGACTTGTAGTGATCCCCCTGTTTACAGCTTCCCAAGACCTGGGATTACAGGTACACACCACCACACTCAGTCTTAATTGCCATCTCAGCATTCCCCAGAGGGTGGGGCCAGCACGGCAGGCCCAGAGGATTGCACCCCCAGCTCCTGTGCCTGCTTGCAGGTACTTTAATCCGTTGAGCTATTTGGCTGGCCCTGAGAAGTAATTTGTTGAGCAGAATGTTAATGGTTTACTTGCATAGAACAAGAATAAATGTCTAAGCATATTTACTGCAGGACTGTTTTAAAGGTAAAGCCAGAAAGTCAAAAATATTTATCAATAAGCAACAGGCATAGTAATTAAGGTACAACATTTTATGGAATACCTTGTACAATAAAAAAAGTGATAACTATAGGTGATGAAATAAAAAGACATCTAATACTATAAGGAAAAAAATTAGGACTTACAATTACACCACTATACAAACATACATCTCTCTGTAGGCTATTATGTCATATGCTTTCAATTATTACAAAAGAAGCTCTTTAACAGTGATTAACTTGTACAAAAGCAGTCTGAAGTCTGAATTTCTAGTAAACTATTCATACAAAGTCTTAGGTGCCTTTTCTTCCCTGGGTTTTAAAAAAATATATGTTATAAGTATTGAGTTTGAAAGATCTATGCTATAGATCTTAAAGACAACAATGAAATACACGCCCACAGTACAGCAATGACTACAGAGGAAACACAGACAAGGTCCTTTCAGCATCTCCAACAGATCTCTGAGTTGCTCCTACAAACAGGGTAGTATGGAGACAGAAAACAGTTAAAAACCACTTGCTCAGTCATTTCAAAATGAGAACATCTACTTATGTATGCAATTAGTGCTCGACTAGGCACAAGCATGGTGAACAAAAACAACCCTCTTACTACCTTGTAAGAAGCCTCTAGTCAAGTTCAAGAGACAGATGTATTAAAAATTGCAAAGATGTAAAACTGCAACTATGCTACAAAGGAGATTCTTTGTAGATTTCAGTTTTAAGATGTACAGCATCTTGCCATGTTTATTTTTCCCAAAACACAGTAGGTTACCTTAATTTTTTAAAAAGATAAAACATTCTTTCCTGAACTCAGATTTGGAAACTGTTACCACTGATGAAGTTTAGTGTGTTGGTTTTTTTTTTTTTTTTTTTTTTTTGTGTGTGTGTGTGTGTGTGTAAGACAACAAAAAACACAACAAGTTTACCTTTCTACTCACTTTATGATGACAAATTCAATGCTGGCATAACGTATTCAATCTTTTAAATCAGGTCTACATAAGTACTTGTACTGATCTATGAGTTTCATTCTATTTTTTTATCTGCTCTTTAATTCCTTAAACTTGTTCAAGTGATACTGGGGAAACTACATCTATATGTGCAAGAAAAAGCAAGCTTGTAGTACAACAAAGTGCTGTAATTCAAGTCACCACCGTTTACCACCTCTTTGCTTCTAGGAATTCAACTGGGATTGAACCCAGGGCCTTCAGCAGCTGGGGAAGAGCTACATTTTGAGCCCTTTGGAGGTTTAAAGTTTGAAGATAGGACATTTATACTGGAAATGTTTTAGTACGCTCCATCATTACAAACCTAATATGATAAACTGCTATATTCTCAAAGGTAGAAAAATGCCCCTAACCTTACTTTGAAAATCATATATTTAGTGTTATTTCACCTTATAATTATTTACTGAGCAATTTTCATGTGTGCCTGGCAAAGTGCCCAGTCTTGAGAATACCCTAACGAATAATACATCATCCTCCCCCGAAGAGCTCAGAGGACACTGGTAGGAAAGGGAAGGGAAGAAACAGGACTCACTGTAATGTGTCCCACCCGAAATAGCACATAGTAGATGCTGCAACAGCTCAGACACTACCTCTCTATAGTCAGAAAAGTTTCACACTGAAGATGTTTAAAATAAATTCCAGGTGTCTTTTTCTGAGACCAAAATAATGCAAGGGCAATGAGAGTAACCCAGAGGTTGTGACTGCCACCATGAGCCTCCTCCACAAGCCCAAGAGTGAGATGACCCCAGAGGAGCTGCAGAAGCGGGAGGAAGAGGAGTTTAACACGGGTCCACTTTCTGTGCTGACCCAGTCTGTCAAGGACAACACCAAGGTGCTCATCAACTGCTGCAACAACAAGAAATCCCTAGGCTGGGTGGAGGCCTTTGACAGGCACTGTAGCATGCTGGAGAATGAGAAGGAGATATGGACTGAAGGCCCCATGAGCAGCAAGTGCAAGAAGAAGTCCAAGTCAGTCCACAGGACTGCTACATCTCCATGCTCTTCCTGTGCAGGGACTGGGCCATCATGGTGCTGTGGACCCGCGTGCTCATCGCTGGCAAGTAGAGGCCACTCCCTGCCATCAGGACCGCTCCCGCCCCTTCAGACCTGTCCTTCATGACTTCATGACTATACTGGTAATAAAGTGCTATGTGTTTTTTTAAAAAAATAAGTAAATAAAAAAAAAATTCCACCATGAGTCAAAGCAAAAACAAAACAAGAAAAACTATAGTTGGCTATTCTTAACTGTGAACTTCTAAATACATAGATATTCATAATGAGTTTTACAGATAGTGACTGAGCCACAGTGAAATAGGATAATTTCTCTATTTAAGGGACTTGATACAAATGAATCGCAGACTTACAGTGGAATTACAAAAAACCCTGATTACTCCACTCCAAAATTTACCATTTATAAACAGACAAACAAACCTGACTCCAATATATTAAATATTTATAATAATTTATTATGTTGGGAGGGGGAAAATTACCTGAGCCCAATACTTTTAAAATTAGAGCAACAGCTCATAGAGAAATGCCAAGAAATACCAGTCTCTCTTTGATACATATATCTAATATGTATAAAACTAGATGAAATGATAAACACCTAGTAAAGAACTTTCTGAACCATCAGCCTGAAAATGCAGGCAGTTCATAAAATTTACAAAGAAATGATTTTATTTAAATTAAAGGAAAATAGGGGCACTAATCACATGCAAAATCCAAATTCATTTATCTGACTATAACAGATGACAGAAACTGACAAACTTCTAGAAAATATAGAATGTTAAGCTTGACTTAAATAACTTGCTTGTGTTACTGAGCTATCAGTTTTTGAGGCTGATGTCTATGAAGACAGCAGATCGAAGGCCCAATACTCCCACCCCACTGACTGATAAAAGATCAATGAAGGATTCCAGCCTTGATATGCGAATGGTATCAATACCATGTTTGAAATGGAAAAACAGTAGGGAAAACAACAAAACTTGCCCAAGATCACAAGCATAACTGACAAAACTAAGAGCTCATTCGTAGTCTTACTCCAAGGAGCCTGTTTTCTCTATGACCATAATTTCATGCACTTGGAAAATAATAGGCACACCATATACATTTTTAGGTTAAAGAGAGGGTGCCTGGGAGATATATGCTCATTTGAAAGCCAAATTCTGCTTAACATTCCCTTCAAAAAGTATAAAATCCCTTCTATCACTGTATCTAAATAATACAGACAAAAATAGGACGGTAATTTGATTTTAATTAGGCTCATTAATAATGTAGTAGTATTTCAAGCATGTGTGGTTGTTTTAAACCCATGATTGACTGACAAGTAATATTAGAAAAAAGATTTATTCAGTCTCCCACAAGTTTCAATCTCATAGGTCGGGGTGTGTGTGTGTGTGTGTGTGTGTGTGTGTGTGTGTGTTGAACTGTTGGTTTCATCTACAAAAGAACATTAATACACAGACTAGCAAAAGAGATAAAAGAAAAAGAAAGGACACGAGGCAACATTAGATGCCCTCTTGTTCACTCAAAATTTAAGAAAAATGTATTACTTTTTACTTTACCCCTCTTTAAAGACAGCTACCAGTGCATATGAACATTAAAATTCTTGCTAATGAAATATTACCTAAATTAAACTTAAAATTTCCAGATTTCTTTATAGCCCACAGAAGAGGTTTGTGTTTAAAAAAAAATGACTGCAAATGTAAAAGTCTAATGATGAGTCAGATGTTTTCCTTCCAGAAATTAAGATGTACTAAATAGAAAAATATTTATAATGAAAGCAGACTGCTCACTTCCATCAATACACAATGCCGTTAAAACTGGCAAGGTGACACTGTGAAACGCTTAAGTCTCAGCAAGCCATAACTGTAAAGATCAAACAGCATATATCTGCGTGTGTGCACTAACCCACCTCCTTAGCCCTTTTTTTTTTTTTTAGCTATTTTGAGACAGGGTCTTCTAAGTCAGCCATGTGGCTTTGAACTTGCTATCACCCTATCTCAGCCATTCAGACTTCTTTTGTTTTTCTTTCAGTACCAGAGATTTGATAGGGGCCTTTTCACTGAACTATACTCCTAGACCTTTCAATTTTGAAAGATCTCACTAATTCACCAGGTTGCCTCGGAAACACAAACTTGAAATCCTCCTGCCTCAGCTTCCTAGTATGCTATTTTTAAGAGCTGACTGAAAAAAAACAAATCCAAGTTTGGTCTATTTAGCTTATTCTAATGGCAAATCTATGTGCTCTACTGAAGCCATTAAGCTAAATTTTAACATCTATATTTGATTTTAAGAATCAAAAATTATGTTTATCAAGGCATATAACCAGGAACTTTCCCTTCCAGTCTTACCTGCCGCATCTTCCAAATCAATCAGTTTGGGCATTAAGCTTTCAGGGAGCTTTTCTGGTAAGTCATAGCCATTCTTCCTAGCTACCACCAGGTGAAAGGCAGCACAAAACTCATCCAGTGTCAATGCACCATCTTTATCAAAGTCTGAGAGTTCCCTAGAAGACAAACTTATTATAAATATAATCACATTCCACTCTGGGTTCCTTTATTTCTCAAAGAGGAGAAATATTTTCCTTAAGAAAGTATAAAAAATCGTTAGTTTTAAATATTTCAGTAAAAAAAAAAATGTATAGGCCGGCAAGCACCTGCTTTGGCAAGTACAAGGACCAGGGTTCTATCCTGGGTCCCACATACTGTGCCAGCCGCCCCCGCCCCCGCCCCCACCCAGGACACACTGAGTCAGCGAACAAGTCCGGCGTGGTGGTGCATGCCTGTAATCCCAGCACTGGGAAGACTGAAAACAGGAGGATCACTGCAAGTCTGAGCTGTGCAGTGAGACCCTGTACCAAATATATAAATGAAAAAAAAAAAAGTGTAATAAAGTACATATATCAAAAGATTACCTGCAGAATCTAGGTGGTGGGATCTGGGTGCTCATAGGTTACAACACCTGAAATTCTCATAATAAATTGCCAAAAGAAACCCCATACTCCAATAATTAAAGTTACCAAAAAATGACTCATAACCTATATGAATTTAAAGAATAGATATTTGAAGGAATATATATTTAAGTCAGAAATTATTTAATACTGTTTTTACTGCTATCAGAAGTTCACATATGCACATTAAAACACAGGAAGGCTTGATACAAAAAATACAGCTTCCCCACCCTGATGCCCCTGCCTAGATGCCAGATAATCATTTTTAAAAATTTTTGGCCTTAAACTATAAAAGCATTCATCTATCTCTAATTCTTGATTTAAAGCATTACCTACCTCCTACTATGCTACACTAATTATACTATAGTCCACTACATTACTAAAGCCTATTACTAAAATAATTTAAGAATATAGAGAACACTGATACAAAGAAGAAATAAAGTTTATCTGATAATTGTTTTTAAAAAGTGATTTGTAATTATAATTTTTTTTTCTTCTGTATTTAGGACAAGGTCTAAGGTCTACAGAGTCTCACCACATAGATCTGGCTCATAGTGATTCTCCTGTTTTTAGCTTCCCAAGCACTGGGATTACAGGTGTGTACCACCATGCCCAGTTTTAAAATTGTCATCTCAGCATACCTCAGGGGTGGGGCAAGCACAGCATGCCGGGGACTTATCCTGGCTGCTATGCTCTGCCTAAGCAGGCACTTTAGTCTGCTTGAGCTATCAGGCCGGCCCTTGTAAATATAATTTGTGTTCCAATAGCCAAATCCAACTGTGTGGCAGCTATCCTGAAAGTCTTAATCCCTATTCATCATGGGAGCTAAGCACTTTCCTTAAACTGAGGACTCTGCTTAGTAAAGCTCAGAAGGAACTTTCGTACTAGCATCACTTCTTTCTTTCCTAGAGAGAGACAACCAGCTCTTACAAGGCCATATTGAGTTCATTGCGAACATTTTTGAAGGAATGAGTGTCAGTTTATATTCTAAAAGCTACCTGCTACAAACCCCAATGAAACAACTCACATTACCCAACTAATGACAAATACCAAACTTACCAAATATGAGAAAGTTCAAGAATAGGAAGTTTTGATTTTGTAAAAAACTCTTTAGCTGCAGATCCTGAAATGTTAAAACAGTGTTGTTTAATGTTACTCTGAATGTAGAGAACAAAAATAGAAAGTGAGATGAAAGTCTTACACTTTACTTTCAATGTGAAAAAATAACATAATGTGAACACATCATGATTTTGGTTCCCAGTGACTATAAACTCTGTTCAGATAATAGCATTGAGAATTAATGGTCTTTTGTAGTTAAAAATCTAGGAGCAATAAAGCAATGTCTTTGAAATTATAAAGATGAGATTTTGTCCTGTCCCATCTAGAATTGAACTTCTGTTTCCAACAACTCACCTGGAATAAATCCGTTTAGATCAGGCTGAATGGTTTTAAACTGATTTATATAATACTGTCTTTGTTCATCTGTTATTTTCCAAGGATCATCATAACTACTGGATTGCCTACGAATTTCATTGGCAGTTGTAGCTGAGGCTACAGTTCGTACTGTTGTCTGGTCCTGTAATGAAACATTTTTTCCTCAGTATAGTATCTATCTATATGGCTACACGGACCAAGATTGCTAGGTTACTTATCCTTGAAAATAAAACTTAAGTTTTCTTGTGGATATTTAAAATGAAGTCATCAGCAAACCACATACTTGTTTTATGTCAGGTTATTAGATATGTTTTTGCACAATGATTATATAAACATGTAGAATGACAGCAGTTATGTAAGCAACAGAAAATTATGAAAAATGTGCTAAGAAAGCCAAGCAAATATAATCTCAGATGCAGAGACCTTTCAAAACTACACTAGAGAATTAGAAAGTCAGCCAAACCTTTAGTGAAACATTCCAGTGACAACAGGCTTAAAAATAACAGCACAGAGAAGAGCTCTAGATTTTTAAAAGTAAGAGTGAACTTGCATTTATAAAATCTGCAACAGCAAAATACAGAAACAATGACTACAGCAATACTCTGAATGAAGCAAATAAAAATGCAATACCAATAAAATGTCACACCTGGACAGAAGCAGGATGCATGGTTAAAAGAGTACTGGTTGGTGGAGTATCTGCAAAACTGACCCAGTTTTCTTGCGGTGGAGGTGGAGAATGCCCGGACCACACTGCATCACCAGCAGAAGAGCCTAAAAGGAGAATGGGTGAGCATACCGATTCACATTTGCAGATAACATTAGTTACTAAATTTGTAGTTAATGCATATATTGCAGGTTAATAATAAGCTTCTCTTCTGGAGGGTTAACAACCTAAGTTAACAGTTCAAAATTGGAGAAAAGGAAGGGCTGCAAGGTCAGCCAACATTTTCGCCCTAGCCTTTCAAGGTCAGTGAAGACTCAGGACATAGGAGAACCCCTACTATAACAACCTGTAACTCAGCTGTGCTCCAAATTTTCTGATCAAGAAGATCATGGAGCCACAGAGGAATGTGATTGATGATATATAGTGTGCCTGGGGAGAGTCACATGGAGAGAAAAAACATTCTCTCAGGCTTTCACAAAGAGCAAATTGGTCAAGCAATGGCTGTGACTCATCCTCATGGCTGACACTGACAAAGGATCTACAAAGTGCAATACAGGGCTACAGGATAAATCCTGAGGGTACTTGACTGACCTTATCAGATACAAAAGTTAAAATTCTTGCTATATAGGTCTTGCTTTATTGTGGTCTTAACCATCCAGCAGAAAAGTATAAAAACGAGGTATATAAAGTAAATCCATATTAATACATGAGCTGTAAAAGGCTCAAGTCAATAACTTCTGAGGATAACCCACTAATATTATAGACTGCTAGACAGTGTTGGATTGTTTAGCTGAATTCAAACACCTTAGTATTTAGATGCCAATAGAATATTCAGCTCTGACAGGACTAAAAAAAAAAGAGGGGGAATACAAAGGAATGATCACTTTGTATTTATATATACAAAATAAGATAGATATACAGCTACTTTCGCTTAATTCAATGAGAAGAAAGAGGTGTACTAATAGTGTTTGGACTGGATGTCCTGTTTGCTTCTTGTACTATGGATAACCACTAAGAAGATAACAATGTACAATGTACTGATTATCGAAACTGTTCTATTATGCAGTTTTGAAACTGTCTCATTATTTATTTCTCAATAAAAAATAAACAAATTTGTAGTTAAAACTCTAACAATGTACCTCATATAAAAAGTTCTTTCAAACTCTAAGTCAAATTCAAGAAATGCAACAATTCCAAAATGTAATCTCTTGTTCAATTAAAAATTATATCTCACTTAAAACTTTTTAGTTGTTTTGTGCTTTGTTAACACTTTTGGGAAATAATTATTAATTTTACCTTCACAAAATCTGGTATCCATCGCCTCTGTCTAAGCATTACACATACAAGTAAACCTTTTTCATACATAAATTTTCCTGTCATTTTGTTTCTATTTACTTAACTCATTCTTAGAGGTAACTCTTAAAGGAATATTATCAAGTTTCCTTCAATTTACAACCAAAAATAGCTGATATTTCTAAAGAATCTCTATATACCTGATTGTGCTTCACCAAAAGGAGACCAAAATGGCCCAGGTCCAAGAGGCCTCTCACTATTTCCCCCACTGGAATGACGGTTGTGCTTCCTCCATGTGTGTGGAGAAGCTGGTGGTGACTGCTGTGGCGAAACTATTGGGGACGCAGGTTCCTAGAAACAATATTACTACTATAAAATTCAAATTTTAAGGAGACATTTTAATTAAGTTAAATTTACAGTATTTACATTTAATTATTATCTTATCAATAAACTCATGCAAACATACATAGGACATGAACTGATAATATTTACAGGCATGTGATCACCTGTTGATCTGCAGATGCTCGAGGCTGAACTGTATCATGGCTTACTGATCCCTTTTTCACTTGTCCTCTGCCAGGTGGAGGGGGAATCACACCAGAGTAAGACCCTTGATTTTCAGAATCTGAAGAGTATGAGGCTGCATGGCGAGATTCTTGTTCATTCTTCGAAGCAACGAATCTTGGCAGAGGCAGGTCTTTTACTGTTAACCACAAAAATAATTGTAGACTAAGTATGTATTACTCAAAATACTACAGATGAGTATTTCAGATCTCAGAGATCTTAAGATTTTGGAATATTTGCATATGGATTTTACGGGTCCACAATTAAAACCCTTTAACTGATCAAAAAACTTAGCCAATAATACAAAATATTACAGAAGACTTCGTTTTCCTTTTTCTCCATGAAAATACAGAATCCACCATACTTAAGCATTTAAGTATATGTTTATAGAATGTTTATTTTCTTTCCTATCAACCAGTCTCCAAATAATTGAAAAAATATATCCAAAAAGACATTTGTAAGGTGGCCACACCCCTGTAGCTCATCTTCCATCTACCAATATTTTAAGTGTTTCTAGCAATGAGAAAATTTTAGTTAACTGATATTTTCTAATTTAAACAAATGGAATCTCCATAGCCCCTCCACTCCTCTCATAAAGCCCCAGAGATGTAAGTTTATTATATTAGAAAACGGAGTAAGGATGTATTACATACATAGATGTTCATTACAATTTCAGACTAACCTTGATAAGTTACTTAAATTTTAAGGAAATGTTTGTGAATTCTGAAAAATTGCCATTTGAACACACACTATCGTCAAATATATGACATACATATTCTATGTTAGAACAGGTACAAGACAGACTTACTTTCCATGGGAAATGCAAGGTGATGAGAATTACATCCTGTCACCTTAATGTTAAAAAATGTCATTGTGGTATCAGAGACTAAAAAAATTTATTGGTTCAAATATCATTTGTAATTAAGACTATTTTCATTTCAGTAACTAGTGTATTGCATATTACCTGTATTTATACTTTCTACTCTTAATGGGAACCCAGACTGGGCAACAGCTACAAGTTTCAAAGCAATATAGAACTGACTTCTTCCGAAATAACCAAGTCGTGTTGCACCACAAAGCTCCATAATCTGGAAGAGAACACAATGTTAGCATTGAGAATTATGCCAAAATTGTCCATTCAAAACTACGCAACCAGAGGCTGGGAGATGGCTCAGTAGAATAAGTGCTTGCCTGGCAAGTGCAAGGGTTTGAGTTTAATCCCTGGTTCCACCAGAAAAAAACCAAAACTATGTAGCCACAAAAACAAGAACAACAACAACAAAAAAAATACATAGCTAGACAGCTTGTTAGTAACTTCTTCAAATTATCTAAGGTATGATGTAATACTTCCAACTGACAACCAATTTGCACTTTGTGAAATCAAAAACCCACTGGTTTTATAATAAGGCTATCATTCTCTATTAATCAAAATCCATTTAATGAGCTGTTTTATTAGAATTTTATTTCTTTCAAAGTCACTTTTCAACGAAGAAACAACATACCATCCATACTCTTTACCATAAGTACTGTCCATGTAACAGCTCCCTGTAGCCAATAGACTATTACACAGCTACTGAAAGCAATGGTCATAAAATGATGTAACAATATGGGCGAATGCTAAGAAATATGCCAAGCAAAACATATAATCTTAACTAGGTAAATACCAACTTGGAAAACTCATTGAAATTCTATCAGCTACTTAATTAGGTGAGAAGTTTTTGCTTCTACTTTCCTAATTGTACTTAACATGGTTATATGGCTTTTCTTTAAAAAAAGTTTGTTTGCGCTCTTCCTTTTTCTAACCATGAAAACTTTCAAGGCTCCACACTGATCAGTTAAATCATCCAACAAGTATCTCAAAACTGACTACACAAGTAAACACAGTTGTGCCTCCGCTCATGAGCTTAATTTGTTCCATGATTCTGAGAAGAGTTCATGTTTGAACATACCTGGCATGTTTTAGGAAGATCTTTTTAAATATAGCAAAAATAAAGAAAAACAGATATATGTTTAAAAATTTAAAAATTCTGTACCACTGTAAGAACTTAGTTGAAAAACAGATAAATCAGGAAATTTCATATACAAGATAGACAGGCTTCTGCCTCCATCTGTGAGTCCACCCGTCCTTCCCAGCCCTGCCTGATGGAGGGCTGAGAACTGAAGCATTTGTGAACGAGGTGGTACTGTTCAGACTCAAGAAAGATGATTTCAGATTATGTTATCTATACTTAAAAAGTAGAGATTATTTGTATTATACAGATGTTATGAATTTCTTACAAGTAAGCACTATGTTATCTCTGTCACTCTTCCAGTAAAAATTCTTGTATATTTAACACATTCATGATGAGGCTGTAATTTGTCTCATTGTTGGGCAGCTGGAACCAGTGTGAGGTGAGAGGGGGAGGGGGAGATGCCAGCAGGAATGAGTTAATCTGTCTTTTTTTTCTGTAACATTCAAAATAGGGTAAGGTATGCCGGCCCTCCCCCAGGGGCACCAGAGATGGCAACTGAGACTGGGCGTGGTGGCGAACACCTGTAATCCCAGCTCTTGGGAGGCTGTAAACAGGCAGATCACTATGAGTCCGATCCAGTAGTGAGACCCTGAGCACCCTGTAGACCCTTCCCTAAAATACATACAAAACAAACAAACAAACAACAGAAAAAACACCAAAAAACCAAACAACAACAATAAAAAACAAACAGGGTAAATTTGAGATACCACAGTACTAAGTCTGAAAAAAAGTATTTAAAGAATTACAAACACACACTTATTAATGGTTAAACAATGCTATGGCAACACTACTAACCATTTGTTTACATGCCCAAAAACAAAAGTCATGTCAGTTGACGGATCAGACCTGGTTTTGCAGTGAGGGGGCATACACTTCAGTGGAAATTTAAGGGAGGAAAGGAAATTGTAAAAGGCAGGTTAAATCAATAAGCGAGTTGTGAAGAAAAGAAAGCAGAGTTAACAAAGAAAGGCTACATAACCTTGCACACCACGAAGACATTTTTATTGTGACCACTGTCTTAGTTAACTCTTCTGCCTATCTGCTGCCTGTTAAGGGATCATTATGTATCTTAGATATCCCTTAAATCATCTAAAACATGCCAGGTATGTGCCAGATACAAGGAAGACCTAAAAAGTCAAGTCACAGTAGTTTGTTGACACTCAGGATGATGTCCAGGGAATGGTTAGAAAGGAGGAGGCAGTGTTAGGGTACAGCCAGAATCTTGTCACTTTTTAAATTTGTACTTATTAAGTTTGAATTTGATAGCTATGCAATTTCTTTTCCTGTACATTATCCAACTTGTCCTTTACTAATTTTAAAATGAGCTATGAATTTTCTTTATTCATTTTAAGAAGCTCTATTTTATTAGGGATACTGACCTCCAAGTGTCAGGGAATTCATTTATTCATTTATGTAGTTCCCCTTAAGTACTATGTGGCTCTAGCAAGAAGGAAAAGGCCACTCAAGAGGAGGATGGCTGTAAATGTGGGGAGTGAAGGCAGGGCTGGGAAGGACGGATGGACTCACAGATGGAGGCAGAAGCCTGTCCATCTTGTATATGAAATTTCCTGATTTATCTGTTTTTCAACTAAGTTCTTACAGTAGTACAGAATTTTTAAATTTTTAAATAAATATATCTGTTTTTCTATATTTTTGCTATATTTAAAAAGATCTTCCTAAACGTTTTATTCTGGAATATTTATGATTAATACTAAAGATAAATCTAACTAAACTGGAATTTAGTTTTGGAATAAAAAATCAAGTTAGGATTTCTCTTGATTCTATTTATTGATCTTCCTTTTCATTCTCATTTTCCAGTAATTTGAAAAATCAAGTTATTTCTGACTCCTCACAGTTCTATATGGCTATTCTTGGACTGTAACACATTACTTTATTTTGATAATAGATATGTGATGGAGTTTCTCTACCTCTCAGTGTTTTTCCTCCTTGTTTAGAACAGTTTAGGATACTATAATGTTTCAAGTAGTGTTTCATTTGTCAGAATAGAGATTTTCCTTGAGAAGGCTGTTTATTTATAGTCTTGTTCCAATCTTTAACAAAATCACTTCCAGTCTTTTGTCATTAAGCACGATACTGGCTAATACTCCATAACATCTTTCAATGTAACTGAGCTAGTTCCACACCTCTGAGCTTCGCTTTTGGCTTCTCATTTTTCAAAACCTACAAATTGATGTTAACTTTATCATGTGCATTTCAGGTAGAAAATTAAAATAAAAGATCATATTTTTTCCTCTTTGTTCTGTTAATATGTATCAAACAGAGTATCTAACAAAAAACTATCTTTTGGTTTTGGGAATGAATTTTATTTAGCTACAATATATATTTCTCCAAATAAAAAATTTTAACCACAATCTTAAAACATGCTTTAAAAAAATTCAATCTGTTAAATTTTGGCATTGGTGTTACATTGGCTTTTTAAGACAAACTAGGAAGTCTTTTTCTCCGTTCTGAAATATTTTAAACAGATAAAACTAGACATAGTAGCATGTGCCTATAATCCCAGCACTCTGGGAGGCTGAGGCAAAAAGATTGTAAATTTAAACCCAGTCTGGACAACTAAGTGGCTTAGTGAGACCCCATCTCAAAATGTATATAAACACAGAAGGTAGGAGTACAGCTCAGTGCAAAAAGTCTGGCTCTGATTTCCAACACCACCAGCAAAGAATTATGTATTTCATAAATGTTTTGAAGAATTCACCTATGATTACAGGCTGGGCTAATATGTACCTCAGTTTCCATCCTATTACTTTACAAATCTGCGGGTCATCCTTGCATGGGGGCCAGGCTAATTATTCCAATTTTAGTATATGTGCTGCCAAAGCAAGCACACTTCCTATACTTTAAATAAAGTAGGTTTTCTATTTCTAAAACATCTGATAATTCCTTAGACTCATTTACTACCTCCACATTTTGAAATTTCACTATTACACAAAGTAGTCTGATTCTTTTAATTTCCTCTTAATGTTAACTGTTCATATTTATGTGCATGCTCTGTCTTTCTCAGGAAAAGTTAGTTACTTGACCCAGAACACTTGAAGTACTTGTTAGGTTAGATTGCCAAACTACCTCCAGTAGATTACTAGTTCACCTATGAAACCTTGGGCCAGGTGGTGGCTGCTGGCACATTGGTGGTAGCTATTGAAAACTATTAAACTTTATTTCCAGGTTTTGTTTTTTGAGCCAAAGTCTCACTATGTAGTTCAGCTGGCCTTGAACTCACTATGTAGGCCTGCCTAGGCTCAAACCTGGGGCAAACCTCCTGCCTCAGCCTTACAGTTAAGGTTTATTTTCTTAATATTACAAGATCTATATGACCACAGTAAAAATAAGTAAAATGATACTTAAGGGTATGAAATTAAAAGGTTCCTATAGTTCCATTAGAATTAACAATTCCAGGGCCAGCCAGACGGCTCAGCAGATTGAAGTGCCTGCTCAGATGCAGGGACCGAGGTTCAATACCCTGCCTGCCGTGCCAGTCCCGCCCCTGGGGTGAGCTGAAAAGGCGACAGAGACTGAGTGTGGTGGTGCGCATCTGTAATCCCAGTGCTTGGGAGGCTGAAAACAGGAGAATCTTTATGAGTCTGATCTGCGCAGTGAGACCCTGTACTAAACACATAAAAAAAGAATTTCTTTCATCTGTTCTTCTAATTTTTTCTACTTGTATATAAAATATATAAGCACATATAAGTAATATACAGTAAACATTTTACAGTTACTTTGTACATTTTATTGTTAAAGATCATTCTACATCAGCACATATAGGTCTTTCTTTTTTTCAATAGCATTCCACTGTATGAATATACCTATCAAAAATTAACCAACCCCCTACTGAGGGGTGTTTACGTTTTTCCAGCTTCCTTATTACAAATACCATAAATACTGTGCACGTATCTTTTGTGCACTGGTATAACTGCAGCACAAAATTCTAAAAATAAAAAGTTTTAAAATATGACATAGTCAAATACTCAAAGCTTTGCTTGAATATACATCTTGTTTACCAGCACAGAATCCTAGCTGCATGGTCTGAGACAACAGTGAAGTTAATGTCATTAACT